GTAGCCTGGGGAGTTGAGATAAAACAGGCGGCTAGTAGCATTTTTTTCCTTTCAAGAGGAGCTTAGCTAAAGGAACCAAGTTCTCCTGTCTCTCTGGACCCCTTGCTTTTTATTAACACAAATTGTCCTACAGCAAGGTAGATATACATATCAAAGGGTAAGCATTGTCAGATTGGAGGAACTGCCCAAGGCTGTTCAAGTGTTTGGCCAGTAGGAGGTAATAACCTGTAGATTGAAATGCCCTCAGCTCTCTGGCATCAAGCAAGCAATCATTTATGCATCTTTTTCAGGTTTGGGGAAATGCCATCAGCCATCTCCAGTTGATTCAGCCCTGCTGACATGCTGGAAATGACCCAGCATGTTTCAGGCTCAGTTTGTAGCTTTTCTGCCCAGTATTGGAATCAGTCATTTTTCTAAGGAATCTTAGTTTCTTTCTATAGAAAATTACATGTGGAGGTCACAGACCAGGTGTAACATTCTTTAATCATTTCAAGCACTAATAAAAAATAAGAAAATTGTTTTATCACATCTGTAAACTAATAGCATTTGAAGGTATTTCAGAAGATGCATGAGAAAATGACCAATCTGGAAAATATGGTACACATATTAGATATTCATTCAAAGGCTTTTCAAATTTACATGATATTGATTCATGTATTCTGATACCTTCTGGTCTTGGCAATTCACAGGTGGAATGTCACCCGTATCTCAACCAGAGCAAACTCTTGGAATTCTGCAAGTCCAAGGACATTGTTCTTGTTGCCTACAGTGCCCTGGGGTCCCAAAAAGACCCAAACTGGTAATAAGAATATCAGAGTTAACCTCTGTCAGCAACTCTATTAGTGATGAAGTACTTTTTAAAATTAAGCTTTCTTTGGGGCCTAGGTAAGGGCTGGGAGGAGGCTGTTAAAGGGGAGGGGGGAGGAGATGAGAAACATCTGTAATATTATCAGCAATATTATACACACACACACACACACACACACACACACACACACACATATATATATCCTATCTAATAAAAGAGAAACATGGTAATTAGCCGTACATCCACTACCCTTTCCATTGGCTAGTCAGGGCAATATGCAAATTAACTGCCAGCCAAGATGGCGGCCGGCAGCCAGGCAGCTTGAAGCGAACATGAG